CTTTTCCATGTGATTTTCCATTCCTACACACTAAGCCCTACCCTCAAAACAATTCAATTCTAAACCCTGGACCACCTACCTCCCAGGCAGGACCTTCTTCACTATTGGGGAAAAATATCCCCCAAAAACCCTATACCGCTAAACCCTAAACCCCTAGCACTTTAAAACCCTGAAACCCTAAACCCTAAAACCCTAAACCCTTAAACCCTAAACCCTTAAAACCCTAATACCCTAGAACCCGAACCAGCGCCTTCTTGAGATCCGCTTTGGGATGCTTTGGGGCGGGCTCCGGCTCTCTGTCTGCACCCTTGCGCTTGGCCTTGCTTCCAGTGCTTTTAGGACTGTTAGGGTCTAGAGGTGAGGGTTTAGGGGTTAAAGTTTCGGGTTTAGGGGTGAGGGTTTAGGGATGATTGTTTAGGAATGGAAATTTTACTGGAAAAAGCCTACGGAAAATGACATGGAAATTGGGGCTTGACAGGGATAAGTAATTGTAAGTTTTCGGGAAGGAGGTAGGAGTTTAGGCTTCAGGATTTGGAGCAATGGGTCTTCACTCAGCGGCTTAGGCTCGAAAGATTTAACCTTCGGAGCTTAGGGTTTCTTAGCCATCCATGGGCAAGTCGACCTAGCATGGTCACCCCGCCCCTCGTGCATAGGGAGGCCACTAAACAACTTTCTGCGTCTAGACTGAGCTCCCGAACGGACCCCTAGAAAACAGTTTCCCCGACAGCGACATGGAAATGGAACAAGAGGAAGCTTTACTAAACTATTCGGTCTTATAAGCCATCAGCATAATGGCCACCGCATAAACTAATTGTCCCTCTAAAACATAAACCTTTCTGTTTTGCACATCCCTGTTCTCCCGATAGAAATTCACGACGCTCCAAGATCCTGAAATCTTGGGCCTTCTTGGACTCTCTGGTTCAAGGTTTTATGTTTTCCAGATTTTCGCCAGAAAAGTCACAAGAGAAACATTTCTAGGGAATGCCCAATGGCGGATCGCCAACCTCCGCGCTTTGCAGGAGCAGAGGCCTTGAGAATCTCGCTCGACGCCTAAACGAAGCCGTACATGAAGGCTTGTGGCCCATCCCTTATTTGGTAGTTTCCCAAAACAGGGGGACCCTTATATAGAGCCCCAAACATTATAATCCTTTTTTCGGGACCTCCAAAAAAGGTACCCCCAATTTTGGGAAACCACATTTGCTTCTTGACAGTTTTGGCACCTCTTGAGGGAATGCATCGGGAGTGCCATGCTCAGTTGTAGAACAAATACGATACACTTGGACATAGAGGTGCTTTTGCTATGGTTGCTAATGTTAGCATTACTATTACTGTTATTGATGCGGTAGGGCCTGACTGATGTGTTGCCATCAGAGACTTGTGGGGGAAGAGCTCCAGGGGTCAGTGGGGGAATCTTACGGAGGATGGGGAGACATAGAGATTGTCCAGATGACAGAAACCACACTTTTCCAAAGTAAAGAAGAAGCCCCCCACGCCTTGTTGTTGGCCGCGCTCTTGGTCTGCACGGGCTTCAGCTCTACACGGATACGGATGGGGCCCATATCCAGATTGCAGCCATCCTTCAACGGGCACCAGGCTGCGCCCAAACGTCGGCCATCAAAGAGGGTCCCTTCCTCGGTTGTACTCCGAAGAGAAGCGGTCTTCCATGCATCATAGCCTAGGTCCGTCTAGGTCCTCTACCGAACGTCCACTGTTGTGCCAACATGATCTGTGAATGAGATGGTCCTTCTCCTAAGGACGCCAAACAAGGGCTCTGGGTTGGCAAGGGCCTTTTGTTTCCTTGCTGGTGGTTGGGAAGCAATGGAGGAATAGATCCCTATTGCAATTTCTTTGAAATCTCTCGCCCATTCCTTCATTGAGCATAGCCTAAACCCTAGAAATTCCGAAATGGAATAACAAAAATGCGAATAAACCAGTTTCTGTCTTCTTTTTCTATATATTCTTTTTCTCTACGGGCCACCATCACGCTTAGAAAGCCAGAAACACAAGTCGAAGTCCAGACGCCTCATCTGCGCCAAGATCGCAGACCGAAAACCTTACCCGTGTTTACTTGGCAAGGAAGGAATGGCTTCTAGAGACCATTATAAAGACTATAACAAGTGTCCTACTATGGGGGTGCACCAAGAATTCCCAACTTGGGCTCCTGGACTTTTTTGGGACTACAACGCGGGAGTACCCTCCGTTCCAAGCCAGCGCGGAACCTTACAAGAAGCCCCAAAAGCCTATGTATGACCCATTGAGATGTTCCTATAGGTTGCTTCATGTTGGTTTGAGGGCAGTACGTGCTTAAGGCCGTTTAAGGACTACAAAAGGGATGTGTTCCCCTTTCCCAACCGAGCATGGATGGGAAACTGGCCGTCAACACTCGAGATGCGACAGTGCGCTGCGGCCACAGGGTCGGTATCCTGGGCTGTTTGTTTGATGACCGCATGGTTAGCCACTCTTGGAGTTCAGGACTTAGGTTTTCTCAGAGTACTCTCTAAGAAGGATCCCTTCGTCCACTACTTATCCTTGCGTTTCCAGGGCCCGCTGCACCGAAACACCCATGTGATAGCAACCCAGCCCCAAAAGGCATAAAAATACAATGCAAGTATGACAGGAGCTCAGAAACCAAAACCGTAAAACGGGAAAACCCCTTAACAGGCTAGCATCGTGCCAGCAAAGGGCCGTCACCTGCTGTTTTTTCAACATTGGGATATATTTGCAAAGGGACCCAAGGAGTACTTGGGGGGTGGAGACACTTCTGGGCGTCCTATAACGGATTCCGACCCTAAACCGCTACCCCAAAACTCTATAGGGAGAGTTGGCGGAACTCTTGCCTCCGGCACACAACGACCCAGTATAGCGCCGCTTGTCGGCACACGAATGGTGGCCTCCTCCAGTGCGGAAGCCTTATTGGATTTATGTTTGAAGTGGTTACACCACGCAGGATGACCTTCTCCTTACAAAATACCACAGAGCAAGGGAGAAAACTGTGCCTACCCCATGTCTTAGCAGCTACCTATACCTCCCAAATACACAATAGCAATAATACCCATGATTTTGGGTGCAGGCCCATTTGGGTACATCAGAGGTCTGAGCACAGTTTCCTTATCAGTCCCGCCCCCCGAACATGAAAACCGCCCACCGCCCTCCATACTGTAATATACGGAGAATTGTTGATATCAGTGCAACTTCTTCGAAGGATGATGTAGGTTTAGCATTGACGAGGACTATTCCAGGAAGATTCTTAGGACTGGTTTGAGGGTTTAGGCTTGTAGGGCTTATAATATTCAGAGTTCAGGGCTTTCGGGTCTAGGGCTTTTAGGAATTTCATCGGAACACACCTGCCGCTCGGGAGAGGGGACTGACTATACTGGAAATTACTGGAATACTTACAGGGAATGAGTTACAGGACTACGTAAAGTAGTATGGACCACTTGCACGCAAAAAGTTGAAAATGTACATCTGAAGCCAGCAGAGCAACATAAGGGGCTTGGTTCCCCAGTCGGCGCAGCACCTCTACCTGCTTAATTAAAAAAGTTACCGGTGTAGGGTTTAGGGGTTCAGGGTTGTAATCCCTGAAGAAGGACAACCTCCAGAATCTTATAATCCCGCTATACCCCATAATTCCTGTTATACTCCCCATATACCCCAGTGTCTCCAAGGTACTCCCATACCCCTGCAAAGGATCTCCATAATTCTCCTTTTCATGAAGATGTGCCCCTGGGTCCCCATGACGCTCTAGGGTTTAGGCCTTTAGGGTTTTACCTTTGCAACTCACACCTGCCGGCACAAGGCCCCTGCCGGGTCGCTTCTTGGCGCACCTTAGCGGGCTGAAACTCTTGCCATTAACAACTGCAATTGTCACGTTGGTATACTATGGTTCTTTCGCCATTGTCTGGGGTTCAAGGTTCAGGACTTCAAGGAAAACTCCATAGCTTCGCTGCATACCCACTTTCCATCCGAAGAATGAGCTGCTTTGCTGCTAGTATCTCCACCCCAAAGCCCAACACCCTAAAATGCAAATCTCAAGCCCATCTGGTGAACCCCCAAACCTTAAACTTCTAAATCCATAAACTCTATAAACACTATCTGGTGAACCCTTAACCCCGAAAATTGCTAGTAGCAACTGGGGCACAAAATGTCTTGAGAACGTAGGCCTGGCCAGCTGGAGGCAGGGACCTTGCACGCCCCCAAACACGCGCATGGAGAGCCGAAACAGGGGTGGCTCTTTAATGCCCAGAGGATACACCCTCAACTGTGAAGCCAAAAGCTGAAACAAGTGACAATTCCGATTTTGAACGAAGGGTTCCTTTTCGGAAGGAAGCCCTCCAGCTTTAGTACGCATTGCTTGGACCCGAACATGGCTAGAAATGCACGGCAAGCCAACATTAAACTCAAACCCTAGACCCCAAACCCCAAAACTGGTAGATCCTAAACCCCGGATCCTTAACCATCCTAAACCTTAAACCTCAAATCCTGAGGCTGCTTGATCGTAAGCTGCAAGCCCAGGTGCAGGAGAGCCTCCAAGGCGCAGTTCCCAAGACGCAGTCGCCTGGCTTGCTGTTAAGGGACATAAATTAAGTTACCATAATGGGAATGTAATGGAGAATCAAATGGAAAAGAAAATGGAAAATGAAATGGAAACTGTGGTAATATAGGGATTCAAGGAACTTAAATTAAGTTACCATAATGGGTATATATGGTAAATAATAGGGTTTCCCCAATGTAGTAATTTAATTTAGGTTCCTTAACAGCAACCCAGTCGCTTACAGAAATCCTCGGAGGCCGCGGCAGCCCTCTGGGCTGCACGGTACCGGGACAGATGCAAGATGCAGAGAAAGCCTGGGAGTGCTAAGCACTCAGCGTCAAAGGAGGGGTTATATAGTGTTATTGGGGGAATATATAGGGATAATGGAAAAGAAAATGGAAACTACTATAGTATAATGGGGAATATATTGGAGTTATAATATTGGGATTCTAATATTGGCCCGGGGCTTGGGATGAGTTTTCACAAGCCGGTTTGGGGTTTGGGGTTTTCGGGTTAATTAGGGTTCAAGACTTAGGACTCAGGATGCTAAGGATACCAGGGAAGTCAATGTAGGACGTAGGATTTAGGGTCCAGGGCTTAGGATCTGGAGGACGCCTGGGTGGTTCTTGGGATGACATGTACCAAAAAGTCTAGATTACTCATGCAGGCAAGGTTTCTGAAGAAGCTTCCCCTTAGGGATCAGGTTAAATATGGGTCCACATTGAGGCTGGCACACAAATTATTGTGATACACCCTCAGCCCGTAACTTTCTTGAGCAACCACGATTACCAAGGGGAGATAAGAATCTCACTGCGTTGGGGACAATGGTTAATAGAAGCCCCATAGAAACGATGCTAATCGGGGATTGTGCCAGGTTCAATTTACTGCTGTGTTTTTCAAGTAGGGACTTTCAGGTTTATCTCGGCAATGCCCGTGGGGAACCATCCCAGACCTTGCAACCTCTATCAACATTTACATTTTCTGACTATCATGACCATATTTTCCGCGGCGACACCTAGGCGGTTCGCAGTACCCCAGGGAAATGCCTACACAAATCCCGAGGTTCACCTGATTAGTGTGTGGAACTATGTCAAACCTCCAAAGCAATGCTCAAGCATTGTCCGGAGACTGCTGGACTGATCCACAGCATTGTTTTGCAGGCTCGCAGGATCCGTTGGAGGTAGGGGCAGGACCGTCCAAATCTCCGCGCTCAAGTGAGGAGCGCCAGCAGCCCATATGGCCTGGCTCTACAGTCGTTTCTTTGTGGCATGGAAACTACTTTAAGGTTTGGGGTTTTGGGTTGGTTCCTAGCAGAAAAGGGAGGAACCCTGTTGTAGCCTCTACATACCCCTCAAGAACATAACAGCTCCCATGTCCTTTTCCATTGCTTCCTTCCCCGCTACCAACCAGCAAGTCTAGAGCAACAAATATCGTGCTCTGCAATTACTGCTTGCTCCAGAAAAACCACCCTGGACCCTGCCTTGCATTCCCCAGACTCGCGGATGTACTCATACAGGACTCCCTGCGCCTGGTCCCAGCTGAACAGCTGTCCTGTGGGGCTGTGAAGGTAAAAGCCCTTCAGAGTTTCTGCGTCGATCTTCCAGCAGTCTCGCGCATCCGCAAATGCCCCATCCAAGTCTTCCAGTGGTTCCGGGTCAGGATCGGCATCCTCGAGATCTCCGTCACCTTTGCTTGAAGTTCCGCAGAAATTGACACGACTTGCAAAAAGAAGCACTGTTATGTATCAAGAGCTCTGTATCCTGTAAACCACAACAGATCCCTTTACATATTATGAAGCACGCGTGTTGTCTACAATACTTATGAAAGACCGTAAGATATTGCCTGGTTCAAGCCTGACCTGGGCTTTCCCCTATCCAGGCAAGAAGCCCAGGTCCCATGTATCCCTTGCAGCCCTCAACGTCCATTCGATTTTCCACATGAATCTACATTACTATGGAAAACCTTAAACCCTATTATCTAAAGACAACCCCCTAAATAATCCTCTTCTCTACAGGGTTCCCTATATGACCACAATATACACCACCTGAAGGGTGAACCCTTTCTAACCACCGCAAAGGATAATGATTAAACGTAATATAAGGTACTCTACTAGATACTTCAAAAGGTATGACGTGCTTAGTGTCATGCAGGATTGTTGGTATCCGCAGTAGCCCCTAACAGCAACTGAGCGACTGCCCTCAGCCACCGCCTCTCCGCTGTCGCTGCTGCCCTCCTATGAGGGTTCTGAAAATCGCTAGTCGCTGATATAATACAAGGATTATGAAAGCTTTTTTTGTGGGGGGGGAGAGGGGTGTCCCTATCAAGGAATATTTACGTATGTGTATATGTATGTGTATACATATATATATATATCTCTCTCTCTCTCGCTCTCTCTCTCTCTCTCTCTCTCTATGTACACTCATAAGCAACCTTGAAAGGAGTGTATGGGGATGATTGTTGATAAGCTCTCCTCTGAGTCGGAGCCCATGTCGCTGCGGAAGAGGGGGTTGAACTCATTGCCATGGCAGCTGTTGAGCCGCACCATGGCAACAAAGGTGGAAATGCGTAAGTCCGATGGAGGGGTCCTTGCGATTTTCCAGCTCAATTTGGCAACTCTTGCATACCTGGTTTAGGGTGGTTTAGGGTGGACACACAACGGGCGCCGGTTGGGCTGGCTGTGTCTGAGAATGCTGTTGGGGGCCGAGCCACTCCTGCTACATCACTTGAAAAACAAGTGGCCTAGGCTCAATCGAGTACGGATGAGGCTGAAACAGCATCATGTAGACGTGTGTTCCTGAGTTGCGAGTACCACGCTCTTCACTGACTGTCGCAGACTACGGCTATCTGTTACCCATCAATTTGCGTTTGCCAAACTGGTTCCTCATAATGCCATCTGAATGTTTGTTGTTGTCGTGACGACTGTTCTGTGCTTCAAGGGTTCAGGCGTGCAGTTGGCTGTCAGCCAAAACAGCTCGGAGTCATGAATACTGTGTTGCTACCTGCTGAGCGTACTCATATGGAGGTCAACTCAGGTAGCGCAAGTTCCCTCTCCAAAAAGTGAACTCTGCATCTCCGACTCCTCCGGACAACCTAACATGTAACTCTGAAGCCCCTTAATTAGCGTCTTTTGGACCCTTCATATCGCCTTTCCGATCCTCCTTACTAGTGGTTACTAGGGGATGAAGGCATGGATCCCTAGCAATAGTCCCCATAACCCATTCCTTCATTACCTACTAAGCACCCAAAATCCTGAGCTTCCATAACCTGCAATACTAGAATTATCTCTACGTTTTTCGGCCAATTCCCTACTATCCGGTAGTAAGCTTATCCTAAACCCAAGGCCCTCAATCCTCAGGCCGACCTTGCCCAGGCCCTAGCACTAAACCCAAATGTGCAAGCCTGAATATTTACCAGATTGTTCAATCATAACCCCTCTAAAGTTATGGACCCATAGACCCCAAAACCCTATTCTCATCAGTTAGGCTTCTAGCTTAAGGAGCTCACCCGCCCGCATGGGTCCTCTGCTTAGTGCTCATGCCCGTTATGAACCTACTCACCAAGTCTTCCCCTCGCCCAAAAAACCTAACCCCAAGCCCGAAACCTACTTAAGCATTTTTAAGCCCCTCTAAATCCCCCATCCCCTCCACCTTAAGCTGTAAAGCCCTTAAGCCTTTCTATTAAAAACCCCCTAAATCCCCCGCTTCCCCCCACCCTTTCTAACCCCCTAAATCCGCCACAAATCCCCGGCCTTTAACCTTGTCTAAACCCCCCTAGATCCCCCCTTCCCCCACACCTTTTCACCCTTTCTAAACCCTAAATCCTCCATAAACCCTAAACCCTAAACCATAAACCCCAAACCTTAAATCCTAAACCCCTAAACCCTAAATCCTCCATAAACCCTAAACTCCTTAACCCTAAATCCCCCCCCACCTCTTCCCAAGCCAAGGCTTCGCTTCGCTGCGCCGCCGCAGCGGCCGCAGAGCCTAGCTCCGCGGCCCACGGCCCCGCATCGGAGGCGGTGCCTTTCCTCCGAAAACCAGCCAAATTATAGGGGTTTGTTTGAAGGGGTTTGGGGTTTGGGGGGTTTAGGGTTTAGGGGGTTTAGGGTTTAGGATTGAGGGTCGAGGGTCATAGGGGTTATAAGGGGTAGATGCGGGTAAAACAGGATTTAGGAGTGTAGAAGAGAATATTCTGACGAGCTGTTTAATCAGAGGAAGAATTTCTACAGGAATGGAGAATCAAATAGAAAAGAAAAAGGAAAAAAGGTGTTGTCATTATAGTAATTGTAAAAGGGTATCATTAGGTAAGAAACGTAGTGATGTCGCTGTGGGGGTGCGATCCAGGATGCCTCACTTCTAGACTCGAACTTCAACAGCTCCATTGGCCTCCCAACCTGACTATGGTGGCTGAATTCCTTCTCTTGCCTTGAATCGTGAACTCTGAAGTTCAAGCGATCTCAACCCTTAAATTAAAGCTTCAGAAGGAGCTACTATACGGATGTCCCTTCCCAAGATTTTAATATGCTGACAAGAACCACCATTAATACGACGATAACAACAACTCTCAACCCATTACAGTTGTTTCCATTTTCTTTTCCATTATCCCAATATAACCCCTATACAACGTATATAACCCAAAAACCTACAGCCTAATGTTTTATGAAACCCCACGCGGTCCTGAGGCTCTGCTGGTTGCATGGGTAGAAGCCCACAACCCGGAAAATGGTGCCAGGAGCAAAAATCACCTGACAGTTGTGGGATTTCGCGAATTGGAGGTACCCTAAACCCAGGGATATATGGAGATCATAACAGAGTCATGGCGATACTCTCATGTAGGTGCAAATTCGGTTTCAAGGTGTTGCTTTGCGGGGGGTTAAGGGGTCAGCATTTGGATTCTCGGCGGCTACGGTTAGGGCTTGGGGTCCTGGATATGCTCATTTGAGAGTGTCTGTGCGGTACCACCCGTCTGCTAATCCCCTTCCCAAGCATTAACCTCCCCAGCCCCCAATTCAGAGGGTGGGGAGGTTTAGTATAACACCAAACCCTAAACCGTAAACCTAAACGCTTCATTAGGAGGCTGTCAATCAGAAAGCTTTATGAGCTTGAGCCGCCAGAAACAGCAAAGCGAAGGCGCAGCATTGGTAAGGCATTGAATTGGCAAACTTTGAAGCTCCTTCCCATATACGAACATTCCCGACCCCCAAATCAAACAATTACCCAGTAGAGTACCAGTATGCAGTAGGGGAATATCTGTATTGGGGGGAGGGGAGAGGTGCGAGGTTCATTTTCTAGGGAACGGAATCACGTTCACAGGGATGGAAAGAACATGCTCCTCCAGTGAAAGTCTAAGTTCGTTTCTTGTAGACACAGTCTCTAAGAAACGACAGCGGGGGCAAGTAGTGTTGAAGGACGAACCCTAGCCACACTAGTTGATGGGGTTGTCCGTGGTAGGAGCCCTCTGAGCGGCATCTGAAATATTAGAAGCCATGTTATCAGCCCCCTCCTACAGGCCAAGGGGTTTTCTCTGGGAAATGATGTTACTCTCATAATGTCCTCATTATAGGGGCGGGATACAAAAAAATCCCTCTCTTCGCACCTCCACACCCATTCAACCTACAAGAACTCAAATATGCTTGAATCCAAACAAAGGTTGAACCACGGTCTCTTAGTGTGCCGCTTACTCTTGGGTTTCCTAATATACTTACGTGTACCCTCTGTACATATACATACGTATACATACACATAGATTATACGGCTCGAAACAGCCTCCTGATGTTCCGGGGTCGCCGAGAATTCGGCCACTGGGCGGGCGCTGGCTGCGCGGCCTGGTCGTTCTGCAGAATTGTTTGGAGGTTTGGGTTGTGGGACGCGCGCCTTCAGCCCAATGTCAATGATAATAACTGGGATTATGTATATGGGGGTCGTACTGAATCACAAGCCGACATGCCGTTATGGTTTCAGGGTATGAAGGATTTAGGAGTTTTGCCGTGCGCAAATGTGGATCCCAGACATCCTGGAATCCTTTCTCCTGAGTGCCGTGTGGCCCTACAAGACAGCTCAGGAGATCCAACAGGCTTTGTACGTTTTGAGTTGATGGACTAGGGCTTGGGAGTCCACATAATAGGTAAGCGTGAGAGTACTTCTGTATGATCTATAGTCTAACCTCCAAGTATCCCCCTTATTAATCCCAATAGTAGTCCCCTATATCATCCCCTATATGACACCCTTTAAGGAGCGTAGATTGTGGCTCATATGGCTCGTCTACAGAATCTCTAGTAAGCCCTTCAAAACACCCTGATCCCCCTAAGCATCCTAAGGCATTCCAAGCCACGAAGCTAACCCACTTGGGGGTTTCCCAAAATTAGGGGTACCTTTTTGGGGGTCCCTATAATAAGGACTATAGTATATTGGGGTCTATATTGGGGTACCCTAATTTTGGGAAACCCTCACTTGAGCCGTAGGGTTTAGGGTTTACGGTTCCAGATCCCCTTCAGCCGCTCCGTGAAACGCCGTCAAGCTCTTCATACAAGCCACAGCCCCTCAAATATCGTTATCCCTTAATTAGGCTTCTTTGGGGCTACCTGGTGTTACTGAAGATGGAGCAGAAGGATTTCCTCAGCAAGGATCCAGCAATCCGTTTCTAATCCGCGCATAGCCCTTACATGCACCATAAACCCCAAAACCCACAAAACCTGAAATCGCTGGAAACCATAAAAAGGCTGAAAACACTACAGCCACTAAAAACCCTGAAGCCCTCAAAAAACTCGGCCTCTTCTGAGGAACCCCCTCTCCTGTATTCAAAGCCAAGGTACGGATCTTGAACACCACCCCGCAAGCTGATGCCGGTTCGCCTGGGTTGGGGTTTAGAGTTATACAGGGGTTATATTGGGATAATGGAAAATAAAATGGAAACTACGATACTGGGCTATATAGGGGTTTTACAAGGGTGTATGGGGCTTTATAGGGGGTATATTGGGATAATGGAAAATAAAATGGAAACTGCCATTTAGGCTTTAGGGTCTAGGATTTTTTCGTGTTTGGGGCTTAGGGACTTCAACTTGTGGAGCCCCAAAAGTATTATTGAGTAGTGCTTTTTTGGTGGTCGAACCTAGTAAGATAATATACCATATATAAAATACTATACCCAAAAAGGAGGACATAATCTTACGCTATATTGGGTACCATAGTATCCACCCAAAAACTACTACTCTATTGGGATTATTGGGCTCCCTGAAGGCCTCAAACTATCTGAAACTAAGGTTTGGTTGGGGCTTAGGGATTAGGATCAAGTTACCAAACGCAATGGAGAATCAAGTGGGAAAGAGCATGGGCTATGCAATGAACACTGGGATTGCGTAGTGATTCCAGTAACTTAACCTAGATTATGATACTGAGTCACATGGAAAAGAATAGGGACAGAGAAAAAGAAACTGGGGTTATATATAAGTTACCATTAAATGGATACTAATGGTAGAAAAACCGGCTTGCGCCAACCATCTCTTAATCAAAGTTCCTGAACATCAGCCCAGCCGCTGTGGAGGGCGAG